GCTCACAATTAACGGAAGCAAAATTAGGACAACATAACAGCTGAACAAATCGACTCTGTCTTTTACCTTTCTGACTGCCTTGCTGAAACTGCTAGATTTCTGATTTATACCACCTGTCTGTCCATGTGCATCTCTAAACTTATCAGCTAATTCAGGCATTTCCTTACCTGACTTGGGTGACCTTTCACCTATAAAAATGGACAACTCATTACCAAAAGTACTAGTCAATTGATCTCTCATCACTAAGTCCTTAGTTCCATCAAAGCTCCTACCAACTTCAGACAGCTCTACCAATCGGTCAAAATAACTACTTAATCTAGCTGCAAATTGCGAAATGCTTGCGCCACCTTCTTCCCTACTAGTTCGAAATTCCTTCCGATAACCTTTTTTATTCATATCATGACGCTTCAACAAAGCTGCCTTTACAAAATTGTAATCAATGGACTATGCTACAGACAACACATACAATGCTTTGCCTGTCCATAATGCTCTAAGATTCATAACTCAACTACCACGGGCCATTTCTGAGTTTCATCTCGTCTCTAGTCTCATCAAACAAAGATAGTTTTGGGCCCTTAGAACTAGCAACGGACTGTGCCATCTGTTCTAAGCCTCCATTTTGACAATTAGCTTCTGCACGTAATCTCAACACTTCAAGTTTATGCTCTCTTATTTTCTCTTTTTCTTCACTGTCTCGTTCTCTATTGCTTCAATTTTCAAGCTTTCAACTTCACGTTCATCCTCACGCTCTCTGTCCCTTTCCTCACGTCTCAACCTTTCAGCCTCACGTTCAGCCTCACTTTTGGCTGCTCGTTCATCCCTCTCCTCACGCTCTCTCTGTTTCTTCTCACGCTCAGTCCTCAATAACAATATCCATGTTTGAAAAGGTGCAAATCAAATTCCAGTGATATTAAATAAAGCAATTTAATGTCAACCTGACAAGCTAGTCTGACAACAACGCGTTCTCTAGACCTTAAGCAGTTACGAAACAGTTAATTTAGTCAAAGGATTGCGACAATAAAATCCAAATCAGAATCACAATCCGAACCAGAAATACAATCCCACTTCTGACACCAAAATGTAACAGTGTAAGTACTCAGGTTCTTTTACTGCTAGTATGGGGTAGACAATACGATAGTACTGAAAATGAAATACACACACACACCAAAATGTCACGCTGAAGATCCTGGTTTTAATACCTCTCAAAATAATTACATGAAATAAAGCACAGAAAAATACAATGAATAAAGTCACTAAAATAAGGGATTGCTCTGGGAAGTGTGCATCGGTGATAACTCACAGTTCCAGGATGCATTAATGGACGACAGTGAATGGATTCTGCAACACAACAACGAAGAAATACAGGAGTCTTGCTTGCAGAGGAACGCTAGTATTCTGGAGGGCACCACTGGAAGCAGGAGATCATACAAGTCTCACAAAATGATGGTTGTAGCCTGTATCACTTGTCACACAATATCGTAGCAGGACACACTGTATACCAAGTTGAACTGATGGAGCACAACTGTCCTGAGTCTGTCCAATTTATAGGCATGATTCAGTGTCACCACCTGGGTTTCCACATGAGCCAATCCGAATGTGATCTTGCTAGCAGCTGTGTCACGTAGGTAACTCAGTAGATCATAAACATCCTTTGTTATTCAAATAACAGCACACCTGGTAGATTCCTATTCACCTTCCAAAGTTTAAAACACCTTTTGTTATGTAAATTACACGCACAACTGCCAGATTCCACTGTTTTTCCAGAGTTGAAAACAAGTATTACCTGTCAATCACCTTTATGACAGTTATCACAGGACAATGCACACAATTTCTTTCCGTGATTCCATGCACACTTCCATTTGCAGGGTTTGGGGTAATATGACAAAACAAATAAATAAAGGATGCTGACATATTTGTTATCGCTACAATGACTACAATAATTATCATCATTAGGTAGCAACAGGGGAAATCTGGTCAAATTTTCATGTTTTTTTTAATAATCGGTATATTACTTTCTTGTATTCTTTCAGTACAACTAACAAAAAAAATAGTACTAATGTTGTTTTAGACGCAAATTTGTGAGAAAAAGAGCACAGCAAGCTGACTTTCAGTTGCCATTCAAAATGCAAACAACCACTTAATTATTTACATAATTCAAATGATGAACAAATTGTGGACAATAGCATTACGTTACTTCAAGTAATCTGTTGTCTCTACAGCTTGGGTGTTTGCTATTGTAAATGAAAGCCCATCTTATCAGCTTCTGTTATATTGTCAGTGTCAACAGTTTCTGTATACACACATTCATTATTGAAAGAGCAAACGCACAACACCAT